ATGGTCGAAGAGGAGGGCTTTGAGGCGTGCCTTGAAGGAGCCAAGGAAAGAAGCGAGGTGAAGGGACTGTGGGATGGAGTTCCAGCCAGTGGGGACAGAGAGGCTGAAGGTTCGGTCATCGATGGTGGGGCGAGCCAGGCGGGGGACATGGAGCAGGGTGGAGCCTGCTGAGCAGAGTGAGAGGATCAGTTGATAAGGGGTTAGTAGGTCGGAGAGATAGGAGGGGGCAAGGCGAGGTGAGGACGAAGATTGTCAACTCCATCCTGTGAGGGATGGGGAGCAGTGGAGCCGGGCGAGGGTGGGGGTGATGGGGCAACGGAGCCTGGTGCGGGAGAGGACACGAGCTGCAGAGTTCTGGGTGATCTGCAGCTTGTGGAGGGAAGAGTTGGGGAGGCCGACAAGCAGAGAGTTGGCAAAGTTGAGCCTAGATGTAATCATTGAGATACATCCACACAACGACACTGAAATATATATATACACTGAAATACACACACACACAATGATACATACACATTAACACACTGATATACATACATTGAGATACACATACACACCATTGACACACACACAGACAGATTGAAGTCCTGTAGCTCAGTGGTTAGAGCACTCGCCTCGCAAGCGAGAGACCTGGGTTCAATTCCCGGGCAGGGAGAAACATTGGCCAAGTTTCCTTACTTCACACACACGCCTCTGTTTACCCAGCAGTAAGTAGGAACTGGGTTGTTAGTCGATTGGCGGATTACTTTTCCCGGGGTAATAATTCTTTCAAAAAAAATAATAAAAATAATTTGATCACTCAATCCACGACTGTTTGTGGGATTCTGCTGTGCACAATTGGCTGCCGCGTTTGTCCACAGAATATTCAGTCAATTCACTTTATGGTATATTCTGTGAAGCGCTTTGAGACGCTATTCTGTGCGGAGGGCGCCCTACAAGTGCAGGTTGTACTCGGTTGTCTCGAAGACGTGATAAGGCGCTATATCAAATGCAAGGATTATCATTATTATTGACACACTGACGTATATACACTCAGATACACACACAGTGACACACTGATATACATACACACACAGTGAAGACTGACATATATAGACTTGAGACACACAAACATGCACATTGACACTGACATATATACACTGAAAAACATAAACAAACAGACACACACACACTGACACAGAAATAGATACTCTGAAATACATTGACATATGTTCTGATATAACATACCCCACATTGAGCAGCCCGACAATACCCTCTATTTAGTATCTATCTACACTGATGAGGTGCGATAAAGGCAGCCTCTGTGTTGTATATTAACCACACCCTCTCCATTAATAACGTCTGGGGGACGTTGCAAAAACACTTCACGAGAATTCACTGAAAAGTATTGTGACCTCATTTTTATAAGTCAATAGAGCAGCCAATTTGTGCACTGCAGAATAATAATAATAATAATAATCCTTGCATTTGATATAGCGCTTTTCACGTCGGGAGGACGTCCCAAAGCGCTTCACAGAACACACTGTAAAGTGAATTGACTGTATATTTGTGGGCGAACGCGGCAGCCAATTGCGCACAGCAATGTCCCACAAACAGCCG